GTAGAGAGTCAACAACGTTTGCTGCTGTTCCTGTCGCTGTAAATCATCTCAGCGCGCTTCGAACTGCGGCAAGACAACACTCACCTCAGCTATCATCCAGCCAAACCTGGCACTGGGCGGATGCTCGCGCTTAACCATCGGGTCGTTGTTGTCCGGGTCAATTAATGGGCAGTCGCAGGAGCGACTGATATGCAAATATGACTTCCGAAAAGTAGTGGGCCGCGGGGAACGAGCGAAGGTCCGTCGATATTCGGTCCACTCTGCGCGGTTCCGCTCCTCCTGGCTATCCCCCACCTCGCCATGTCGCCGCCACTCTACGGCGTCCTGGGGCGGCGACCTCTCGGTGGACCAAGCACGCACGGTCCCTAGGGCCGTGTCGAGCATAACGTGTATGCCCTCGCGCCCAGAAATTACAATTGGGAGTATCCATGGATCATAGTCCGAAGAACCTTCCATGTACTGCAATGGCCACCCGCGGCGACCCTCCTTGAGGTCCTTTTCGCGCGTAGTAGTCTGCGAAATGCGAGCGAGCTATAATCTGGTTGCGATCGTCTCCGTTTTCGTTCCAGTTCAAGTACGGTAACCGATGCATGAGGGCAATGCAGGCAGGCGCGTACCCGAGCTCCACAGCACGCGTCTCGTTCACGGGCGGATCGGTATGCGGTGCGTATCGAAGTAGAACCCTCTGGCCAGTGACCCATTTTGATGAAGAGTTCGTAGAGTTGGGTGATGAGGAGAGACGATTTGGTCGGGATAGTAGGCAGCACTTGCGTCCTGTTCCGCCTTGACCAGTAGTTTCGAGTTGGCTGAGCCAAGTCCTCCTGGTCTTCGAGGGCCTTCTCGGACGAAGTAGGGCGAAGGAGAACGTCTCCAGTTTTCCTGCTCCGGTTATGATGTCCACGAGTTCAGATTCGCTGATAGTAGACGCAGAATCGTCCGTCTCGTCGTCTGAATCATCGCTGGACCCGTCGCTGCTCCCTGAGGAGTCCGAAGGAATATACTCGTCCAAGTCCGAGCTGTCGTCGGCTTCTCCGAGGTCGGTGTCGAGCCAATAGTTCGCCCAGTATCGCTCGTCTTCCACGGTTGAGACTAGGATACTTGGTTGAACCCATGGCCAAGGATAGGGCCGATAACGGCGACGAGGGGGGTCCATGCTTTCCTCATCGTCGCCGTCGTGACGACCACGTTGTGATTCCCTGGCTGTCACACGGCCGGCCCGGGGACGGGTTGATCTATTTCTCTTTTGGGCGTGATCGAACGGCGTCAAAATCCTCGAAAACCGCAATAAATATGCTGCTCTCGAAGGTTGAGCTGCATGCGTGAGAGCGCTATAGAGTAACGAGGAGCTATGAGTGGTGTGCCGCAAGTTAACTTGGTCGACAGATTATGCACCGTGAGTTCCTTTGGGTCGCTAGCAAGTCGCTAGAGCTACCGGAGGAATCCAAACACCTCGATCCATAGGCGATTCGAGCAAACTGGTACCTCAAGATGCGTTTTAGGCTTGATATTTGGGCTTGGTGCGCGAGTGCGAGTGTCGACGGGCGGTCGACAGGGAGGCCGATGTTGCGCAAACGGTTGGAAACGGCGGCCTGTGGCGGCTCAAGCGCAATTATGAGAAGACCAAGATGGGCGACACGGTCGTCCGCTTTGCTTGGTGCATATCACTCTGGTTGAGTGCTCTTGAGTGCTACGATCGCCGAAGATAGGTGGCCCAAGCGGAACTTCGGCTGCCCCGAAAAGTTATTGGCGTTGAACAGTCAGTAACAGGCCCGTCGGAATCAATGTCGTCTTCCTAGTGGTCGACATAGAACTGGTGCGACGACAGCCAGGCGCTCTTGTGTTGAACATACTGGTGGGAAGGTAACCTGGATTTCGGGCCGACCTTCCGTTGCTTACTAGTCGATCACAACTTGAACCGCTTCCCCACGACTCGGACCTCCAGCGACCTTGGTCTGCGCGCTCCCGCACCTCATCCGCCTTGTTTGGTCTAGAGTACTCAAGGGGATCTCTCGCCGTTCTCTAAGCTTGTTTCTGCGAGTTCAACTTCCATCGATATCAACTTCGACTGGCAATGGACCACTGAGACCCAATCTGCCATTCCTGCAAACTCAACGGCACATTCTACTGGAATCCGAACCTTCCTACAGCTCTCCAGCACACACTCTCTGACTTTGGATGGGTATGCGACTCTCACGACCGCATTCGTACGATCGTGATCTCTTATTGTTAAGTTCTCTGAGGCGACAACAAAAGACACACGGCGCCCCCCGCTCTTATTGTAAACTTTGTCGTTCTAAAGGAGCTATCCCGCCCGATCGGTTCACTGCAGACAATTGAAAGACAATAAACCCGCTGTACGCGTTCACATGTTGCGGTCCTGTCGCGACATATAAAGGCGGCGCAACGACGGCCCAAATATTCAGTCAACTTGTTGTTCGACCAGAGCCCTCTCCTCCTTGCTCGCATCCTCCCCTCCTCACCGCAATGGACTCCTTCTTCACCATCACACCTGCGCCTTCAAAGGTCGAGGAGGTCGACGAACTACCCCAAGTCGACGAGGACAGCGGCACCGGCTCCAGCGGAAGCTGCGTAGTCTTATAAGCGCACTGGCGCTGAAAAGACACATCGCTGTCACCACCTGGCTGTATGTCGACCTCTTCTCGCCGCCCCGCTCGATAAACTTATATATATTCCTAGGAATCCGCTCTAGAATTGGGGAACAGCAATAAATTATACGTCGTCGCCACCACAAAGCCTGGGTTGGAATTGGCAGACAGAACGAGAACTTGGGGGGATTTACGCCCAACCGCGTTGTACAATATTACTTATACTTCGTTTCCACCTGTACTCTGCAACATTACCGGATATTCTGAGGTCAACCCCTGTAGCGGTTACTGCGCCGGCCCGCGGGCCGAAACTTGCGCACAACTTCAGTAGAAATCCTTGCTTGCTTCTCTCTCTCCCGCGGCGCTCTTAGAACTCTCCTCTTCAGCTCATACCGACTATGTCTGAACCGGTAGATTTCTCCACGCTTTCCTTGTTCCGAGCGACCCCAGAGCAAACGATCGAGTCGCGTCGCAGAACCCAGCATGAGTGGGGCAAAGGCCTAACACTCGAGGACCATCTCGCGCGCGATGCAAGCCAAGAAGAGTTCGAATGCGGCCGCGACGGTCGCCTGACTGTATGGTATGTTGGAGGAAGGAGGATTCGTCGTGGCGGAGTTGATTCAACACCTTCTTCCAGGGTCCTGGCCCCGAGAGAGGATCCGCAAACCTTGGACTTCAAGTGTGCGTGTGAGACGTGAGTGCGCAAGGTCGGATCGGTGTGTATCTTATCCGACGCGCCAGGTTCAAGCGCACAGGCCTTGTCGTAGACCGCACCAAGAGCAAGAGCGCCGAGGAAGTAATATGCTACGGCGTCGCGTCTGTGTTTACACCGTCTGGAAATCGAGGGAAAGGCTTTGCTCACCACATGATGCGGTGAGTCTTACCTTTTTCTCGTTGCATCCACTAAAGTGAGGAGCTAACCTCGACCTCGTAGGCTTCTTCACTGGGTCCTCGCGGACGAGAACCTCCTACCCCCGTCCGAATTTCCTGCCGCGTGGGGCGCGCCTCCACCGAAAGTCGACGGGGCGCGGAACGCACGCTTCTCCGCCCTCTGGAGCGACGTGGGAGATTTTTACAGCGCATGTGGTCCCGTCCGCGCCGGGGAGGGATGGGTCGTCAGGGGCGCAACGACGACCGTGTTCGACGTCGACGCAAGCTCTATCCCTGCTGATGCAGACGCGCCGGGAGTCTGGACACGGCTCGACCACGCTGGATGCTCCAAATTATGGGAAGACGACGCCGAGTCGATGCGGGCCGACATGGAGCAGAAATCTGACAGCCCCGGACTGGGTTTCTCGTATCTGCCCGACCACGGCGTCGCGTCCTACGGGCCTCTCCGACTCGAAACGTACTGGCAGCGCCTTCCCACACGACCAGAAACCTGGGGTGTCACATCCGCCGACCGCTCCGCGTACGCGACCTGGTTGATAGACCCTCGCCCGCCGGCTCCCCGTACGCTCGTCGTCACCAGACTCCGCGCAAGTCCCGAACGGTTCCGAGGGTTGGTGGGTAAGATTCTGGAGCTTGCCCGAAAGCATGATGTGAAGCGTCTGGAGATGTGGAATCTTCCTGCAGAGCTTGAGAGCATTGCCGGGACGCTGAAGGCGACGACCTACCTGCGCGAAGAACATCTGCCGGCGTTCAAGTGGTACGGGAAGGAGTCTGAGGCGGAAATTTCGTGGTTTTTCAATGAACGGTTTGTCCCACCTTCAGCTCGGGTGTAAAATTTCTGAACATTTTGCGGACAGATTTTGCTGGTGCTAAACTGAGTGTAATACAAGCTTGTAAGGTGTAAACGGCGCCGGAGAGGTGCATCCAAATAGATTTATGCGGCGCGAATGTTGCCCGAATGTGAGGTTCCTGCAAGCTTAAGGAGGGCAGCGGGTCAGGGCGGAGCCACCGTTCGATATTTCCGGCATAAAAGGTGCGATTTGAGGCTCTTCATCTCAGAACGCGTAGAGAGAGAAGGTAAACTATTTTCCTCCTCCTTGTACCGCTTTTATTGACGGCCGCGTAGTTCTCTCTCTCTCTCCGGAAACGGGGTCCCTAGACGAACTTTTCCCGTAGAAACATCATCGCCCTGCTAGGACTACGTCGACAGCACCATGAACCATGTTCTTCAGAACCACCTCGCGCTTCCACGAAGACTGGGCAAGAAAACATCGAGAGATTCTCAGCACCTTGGAATATGGCGACAGGCTTTGTGGTCCCATGCACCAACACTATAGTTACACATGTATATCCGTAGCGGAGAAGATTCGAGACGCAGGACGATGCCGACCATGCACAATCGCTAAAAAGCAATCAATTTGGCCGCGACTCTGTAGCATTGCGGAGGGGACCACCACTACAGAATCCACGCGAGTGCAATGGCTCCTCGGCCCCCGTCGCCACCTCCGCCTCCAGGAATCGAACCTGGGATGTTTCGCATTCTCAAATTGAAACGAATGCGGGACATGTACCACTAGGCGAAGGTGGTGAGCTTGTAATTTCTCCTGGGGTCCTGAGGCCGAGGCCTGAGGCTGGGGAAATATCCTCTTCGAAGAACTGTTCTGACCGTGGGTGGTTGCAGCCCAGAACGCAGAGAGACGACAGAGGACATCATGGTTCAAGTTCGAATTCAACCGGCGATCATGATCGGCCGACATGATCATGAGCCGACTCTTTGCAGCTGTTGTCTGGACGCTTTACAATTTCGTTTCGCCTCCTGCTCTGTGCGTTGACGCCTCATGCGACCGACACAGCTCCTTCAGGGTGGGCGCTCTGCCTGGAAGGGTATGTACTCTGGCTTGCTCACTCGAAAAAAATCGACCAGTAGCACCCAGGTCCCTACTTCGTCGCGTTCCCCAACCTACGCGAGGCCCTCGATAACCACGTCCCTATCAAGACGCAGGCGCGGGCCTGCACCATTCTCCCTACCTTCGTTGGGTGCGCCCCCTATTATGGTTGCAGTGAACCGATAATAATTCCGACAGCATTCGGTTTCACGTTCATAACGGCCGCGACTACATTCCTGTGATGATCTCGCAGGATATGGTAGGCCACAAACTGGGCGAGTTTGCGGCAACAAGGAAGCGGTTCACGTGGAAGTGAGTGTCCATCCGTTTTTCCGCAGAAACCTTGACTGACGAATGCAGGGCGAAAAAATAAACCGTCCCCGTGCGTTCTTCGCGCTCGCGTCTGGATGTTCTCCGCGGCGCGTCGGGCAACGACCAGATTCCCTGGAGCGCGCTATATATCGACTTTGCACCATGCTGTGTATTTTCTGAAATATAGGTTTGAATACATAGACGTCGCATGCCTATCAACCGCGTCGCAACTTTTTCTGTCTCAGGGTTGTATTTCCTCCCCAACCGACGGCCAAAACTCCTTCTCCAACTCAACAACGCGCTCCCATATTTCCCTTCCCCTCTGAAACCCAACATCCGTCGCACTCGCCAATCTGGCCAGGTCATCGACGAATTTCACAAACTCCGGAGACGTCCAGTTGTCGACAAATGCCGACACCGACGCATCACTCGCGAACTGTTTCCCTTCAGGCTGGGAACTCCTCTCCTGAAGCTCTTTGCGGACGAAAGACCACGCGTCGAGATATACCTACCAACAATGATTCAGACGTCCGTGAAGTCTTTTGGCTGCATACCTGCTCCATCGCCCAAAGAAACACCAATCCCTCCTCGACGTTCTTACCGCTGGCGATGCTATCCATCTCCGCAACATAATCCCTGGTTCCTTTCCTCTCCTTCCACATCCACAGATCAAACCCGTGTTTCTCCGCCGTGTCAACGAAAAATCCAGCCTCTTTGACGATATTCTCCAAAGCAAAAGTGAGAGTCTTCAAGATTAGGCGGTTCTGTATTTCCTTGTCAGAATGCGGCGAGGCGGACTTGTCGAAGGGAATAGCCGCAATGAGAGAACCGATGAATCTGGGGTAAGCCTGCGCAGCGTAGATGCGGTCCTGTGAGAGCCATAAGGCGAGCAGTGATTTGTTGAGTGTCCCGTCGCCTGCTGCGCGTAGAAATGGATGGTTTATGGCTTCGGAATACTCGTTATTGGATTGCGCCTGCTGCAGTAGTCGGTCTGTGAGCGCCCGAGACGACATTGTTGGGTAGCAGAATCAGGCACCGAGGACAAACCAGACCAAAGAGAACAACCTTCTTCCTGCCAAAACCATGAATCAGACAGCCTAGCCATACCTGTTCCGTCGCCCAAAGAAACACCAATCCCTCCTCAGTGTTTGCTATCCACCCCTCTGCAACATAATTCCTGCCTTCCACATCGCCCGACCCCATCATTTTCTGACGTTTCCACTAAAAACTCCACCTCCTTCACAATATCTTCCAAAGCAAAAGTGAGAGCGAGAGCAGCAAGTGAGCCGCTAAGGATTCTACCCTACACACAGAAATGCACTATTTCCTGTGATCTCCGACATCAAGGCGGGAACCTCGTTGAAGACAGTCTTCCAAAATGTGCGACTGACCACCACCCCCGCGTTCCGGCTTGGTTCCCTGACCGCCACCGAGACGTTTCGGCCCGCCGTGACTCTTTCTGCGCACCGTCTCCCTCGGAGCATCATCTGTCACCCTAACCTCTTTTCCCTGCTCGCGACATCTGCTGAAGAAAGAATGGAACCGCTTCTATCCTCGTCCCCTCCACGCCTACTTTACACTACGTCAGCCGGCTGCTTCGCTTCCAAATGTCAAGAGAGCGGGAGGTTGACCGTTTGATGAACGCTATACTCGAGGCAGCATCAGACCTAGCCCGGGACACGGCCGGGATAGAGACGTCAGTGGAACTCGAAGTTTCCAGTGCGCTGGGCGCATCCCCCAGAGTTGTGCAAGAAATCGTCGGAAGCGTAGATGGCGCACCACGCGTTTCCGTGGAGGATAAGGCCCCGGCGGTCGGCGAGAAGCACTTCGGCGTCTTGATCTCTCAAGCGCAGCAACCGGGAGGGTGGAAGATACCACGGGTGAGCGAATGCACCAAGCTGAGCGGGACGGCGGAGCTGCTCGGTGCGGTGAGCATCGTGTCTAAGGTTTGTCGCTCTCCTCCCTTTACCCGCTGTGTAAAATGAGGTATTGAACCCTCTTTTAGCTCTCTTATTTTCTCACCGACGAACAAAGCCCCCACCACTACGCCATCTTGCACGATGCTCGATGTCTACACCTCCTTGTTAAACGGAATGCAAATTATCCGAACTTCTTCATATCGCCGCCGATTTCCTTGGATGATCCCCGCCTCTTCCATGTGCTCACCCATCTTTTCCTGTGGGACCCTCCATCGTCCCTCGAGGATGGGTATGATCCTCCCGACGACCCCCCTGTTCCAAACTCCCCTGAATCCCCTCCCCCGCCGATGTATGGTGAAGATATCTCTGCTGGCTTCGCTACCGTTCTCCACCGATTCAAGGATCGCCCGCACAAGTCCACTTACTTCCATATCACCCACTACACGGAGACGATTGGCCCTATCGTCGTCTCCTCCTTCGACAATGCTCCAAGCCGTGCAACCGTCATGCATGGCATGCTTGGCTCCAATCCCATTGTTATCAAGCTGGCTGAGCAGGACCGCGACAACGACATGAAGGAGGAGGGTGAGATTTATCGCACAAGACTCCGGGGCATTGAAGGGGTGCCGAAGGTTTATGCGGAGGGGTGGCTGTGGTCTAACGAACATTGGGTCTACTGCCTGGTGCTGCAGGATCTTGGTGTACCATTGACCGAGGAGGGTATTCAGAGTATCGACGAAATTCACTGCGTTCCCTGGGTCGCAAGGCCGAGGGTGCCTTGCTCGGCCTTGCTCGGTTGAGGTACCAAAACAGGCCAAGCCTTGATGGTCTCGGCCCAGCACTGCCTTGTTCGGCCTTGTTCGGCCTAGACGCCCTCGGCAGCCTGTGCCTTGCTGCTCTCGACCGACCACGACACCGCTGGTTCTTCATTCCCCCTGAGAATCCCGGGACATTTGTTAGCTGCGACGGCACCGCGGTGGAGAGGGTGGAGTCGGCGAGAATGCGCAAATCAAATCCTGATGTCATGTCCAATTTATGGGTGCCCGATTCGTCCTCTCTTCGCCGTCCTGTTTTCGACCCGCCGTGCTCAAAATCTTTCAGCTGCAATTCGAAGGCTTTCCCAGTCTTCCTCGTTACTCTTGCTTCCCTGTCAATGCAATTAGAGCGTCTGTCTTACTGTCGCCACATCGCGTCGACACCATCGCAGTCAAAGTTTGAAAACTGATATTGAGCATTTTTTGCTGCCGACGACGCATGCAGACGACCGACGCCGTTTGTGTTCCTCCTCCACCGCTCCTCCTTGCCTTTCTCCTACATGCCACTCGTGACTCCTCTGGTTGAACCACATTTTATTATTATTATTTACTTTTCCAAATTTTATAAAATAAATACTTTCGTCGACCCTGGGCTAGACTATTGAGGTCACTCCTAATTTAAGGGCGCAGGAATGGGCCTTGGGAATACCAGTGGAGTATGAGGGCAGTTGTGGCGGTCGCTGGGTGATGGTCGGATGTGGCAGTGTTCGTCAAGGCATTAGCCAAACAGGTGCACATGGCCGCGCTGTTTTCGTCAACAAATATTCAATTTCAACTGCGATACTCGAGGCAGATTGAACAGCGTCCGCCGCGCAGTGCTGAGCCAGCAAGGCATCCGGTGCCTAGACGAGCAAGGCAGGGGGGCGCTGCCTTGCTCGGCCTCATTCGGCCTTGGTACCTCGGCGCGGCCTCGGCCTTGGGGCCCAGGGAACGCAGTGATTGACGCGGTCTCGTTGTGCGTTCTACCATTTTATGTTCTTTACCAAGTTTGATTTGATTGAATTTAGGCGCCAGCTCAAGGACCTCGAGACCCGACTCTACGAACGGGGGGTCATCCACAGTGATGTCGAGCCCCGCAACATCATCCGGACACGTTCGGGTGGCATAGGATTAGTTGATTTTGAAGACGCATATTTTGTGCGACCGCAAGCTGACCCGCAGAGTTAGCAGGAGCAGGATACGGTGGGGAAGCACCGGTACTTGGGCCTGGGGTCAATTTCCTTGTTTTCATGCTACTCAAGCTTGTTCTGACCGCTGTTTCCGTGATCCAATTCAGCCCCCCTGAGGCGAGCAGGAATGTTAAGTTGTGGGACTGGATGATTTTTGGCTTCGGCATACTAGTGCGCCTACTGCGCCGCCTACTGCAGTAGCCGTTCTATGAGCGCTGAGCTCGTGAGGGACGATGTCCCAAGTAACAAGTTATAACGTAGAAACATCCCGAGCTCAAATTACTACGTCGTGGCTTCGGCTTGCAATATCAAGGCGCGCCCAAACACGGAGTCGATAAGATACAATATGGTGTCCAGGCGCAGGAGGGAAAACTCAGGAAAGCCGACGCGCAATAAGGCGAGAGTAATGAGGTGATATAAGTAATTGTGATGAGACATGGTATACAGTGAATGGAAGAAAACAGAGAGGGCATTGCAGTGGTCGTGT